GAGCACATACTAATACAGTCCTATAACGCTTCATATTAACGACTGCTCTGACATTAGGTGATACAGAGTAAATTCTCCCGGAATCCTATACAAGCAAAACAAGATCCGTAGAAATGGCAACTAAAATACAGGGTGTTCCCTAATTGAATGTCTACATTTAAGAGTGCCTTATGGGGGTACGTTTCAAGAATGCACGTGGCAGGCGTATGCGCGCTGGCTGAACTCGCCGTAGGGTTGTACGGCGTTGGGGGTGATCGGAAGCCGGGGCGGTACCGTGTATCCGCGATTGAGAAAACAGATCGTCTCCGGGTGTTGGGATGCGTACCGCCGATTGGTTGGAACCAACGCTCGAGGGGCCTGGTGCTGATTACTGGTGGATCTTGTTCGGCGGGACATTATTGTTGTTCCCATGACGACTTGTATGTACATTCTGATGGAATTGTTACTGCTACTGTTACATTTGACTTGATAGACTGCTTAGCGGGACATATTTGGTTGCACCCGCCTTTTTTTTTGGACCTCGGTTGGCTAAGTGGGTCAGAGAGTGCCGTACTACTGATCAGCCAGTCAATTCGAATCTTGCCTCCGAAGTCATGGATATTGTGGCGTCGTGTGTTTGCAAATAAATAGAGATTACATATATATACATATATATATATATATACATATATATACATATATATATATATATATATATAAGATTCGACCTGGCTAATGAGACCTTTGTCCTAGTGCCAGAAAACGCCATTTTGTAGATGACTGGTAGTTTTTACACATAACCCCAACCTTCTATATTCTCCTCCCTGAGATTGCTGATCTCAATCGTACACTCCTGTTTGACCTTGACAATATCATAGTCCACTGCCATCACGGATTATTAGCGTGCGTATGTGCCAAAAGTCTTAGCTTCTCAGATTCATGGTGGTAAAGTTTTCGAATACAAATTGTTGATACGCTACTGACTTTAACTAAAATAAAAACAAATGGAATCTGTATTAGTTTATGAGGAGGTTTGGCCTCTTGATTGTTTTGCCCTGCGCACGGTTTTCACCTTTAAAAAAATAAAATCTGTTTCTCTACATGGTGATATTTTCCTGTTAACGATATTGTTATATGATCAGAGAAGTAGCTTTTATTTTTTAAGCGAAAACCGTGGATCCGATTAAAAGGTGGAAAGCAATCAAGTTTGCTTAGAAGTGGTTGAAAAATATATAGTATATTAAAAAATGCATCTTGATACATAGAAGACGTATTCCAAATTCCATAAGAAGATCTAAAGTGGTATCATATATATTAATAATAAATGATTTAATTTTGGACGCTCTACCACCCTGTATCTCACTTAAATATTGACTTAAAATTAGGAAACACTCCGTACAACTGGAAGGCATTCTCTCTCTGCATTTATATTTTTGATATATCAAAAAGGCTTGCTGTCTTAAAACAGGTCAAAAAGCTAAAACCACCCAATACTTCCTATGCATAAAGTTATCCATAAAAATCAATGAAACGATTCGTTATAATTTCTGCTTGGTCAGGCATTTATCAGCGCAATATCTCAAAGGATTGACTGGCTAAGGAAAATTAGGAGGAATTGGATGTTCGAATGTCAAAAACAGTTCAGGCAGCGAGTTATGCATAGGATTCCAAGAAAAAGCACCATGTTCATTAGTATTCATATTATTATAATTAGTCGTTAGGGGCCGTTCAAGTGTTACGTAAGCAGATTTATTACAATTATTTACCCCCCCATCCCCCTTGTCAGCAAAAGTAAGCAAAGCTCTTACCCCCTCCCCCCATGCTTACGTAGACATTTGTCAATTAATGTATTGTTTTTTTTTTAATTATAATTATAATGTTATAATCATAATTTGAAAAATAAAAAAATAGATTTAGAATAGTGATTATATCTTACTGATACGGTATTCAACATAGAGTAAAGGACAAAAATATTATATCTTACTAACATAACAAACCTATTTTAAATTTTTGGTGCATATATTCAATTCAAATTAACAGTCTTCATTGGATTTTGGAATGTCTACGTCGTTCTTATCGAGCCATTCAACATCATGGTGCTCTAAATTTTGAATAATGCACATCAGTTCATTAGCACGACGAGCAGCGACCCTTACAGGTCTAACTTTCCTATCAGTGTGCGTGTTTACTTTTTTATGGATATTTTCGATGTGACGATTTAGTGACTTGACGGAAGCATGATAAAGACCACACGTTTTGCATGTTCGACTTCATAGCCTCAATTTTACCGTCGGACAAATATAATCGTAGGGCATATGCAGGAAATCTTTGAGAGAAGCACTTAAGCGTAGAGCTAAATTAACTGGAAGATTAAGAAATTGCCCTCCTTCATCCTCAACCAAATCGTCAACTGTTTGTTTTACTTTTACAGGTGGTGGAAGAAACCTATTGTCTAGTAATCTTAATAGGCCACTCCTTGGACAACAGAATTCTGTATTTCTACATTTTACAATTTGAAGCAAGTATTGGCTCTCACTCACATGTTCTGATTACCATTTAATGTCTGGAAAATCAGGAAGATCTTGTTTACCTGCCCCAACATATTTTGCATTAACATTATAGCCATCAATTTCCATTGAACTCCATACTTCAGCTAATACATTTCCTGCAAATTCGAAATTAGATCTTTCTAAATGCTCATCAATTGTAACGCCACGTTCATCCAAATGAGACCCAAAATGGTCATGAGGCAATATTAAACCAGCCAGTTCCCGACTAAGAGGATCCATTCTGCGCTCTACTCTGTTATACTCACTTCTTCCAGGAGCATTAGTAGCTAAAAACAATGCATCGAGATCATGTCGCTTAAAGTGTTGTATAGCAAACCCTATGACTTTTTGATAACGTGGATTTTCATCTGGCCCTCCATCAATCGTCATGAGAACCACTGGTTTTACTAGTCCATGGTCAGTTTTAGCTAATGGTCGAAACTCTTCAAGTTCGAGAAGCGTCTCGAAATCCTTAGCATGAGTATTAGCAGTAGATGAACTATGCTTTCCACTTCGAATATCGATGTATGTTGGTCCGGAATATCCAACGGCTTGCGGTTGTCCTAGCATATTGGAAGTGATTTTGATACCAGAATAAACAGATGGTATTAATTTATGACGCTCAGCGATTATCCAATCGTGATCAGGCAATTTGATTCTATATTCCATGTGCATTAGAAAAGGTGCTTGCTTATTTGCCGCAGTTACGCCAATAGGGACTCGAGCTTCATCATCTTGAGATATGAAAAATACTTGATCTGGTCCAAGTATGGATGCTATGTTCTCTAAATAATGGATTGATGTTTCAGCGAACTTGCTATCTAAGTGGCTCTTGTGGTGATCAGTTTGAGCCCGAATGAGCTTTACAGGGACTGTCGATACATGTCTTCGTCCCTCTGCAGAATCAGATTTTCTGGGAATCAAGTCCCACTGCGACTAATGACAAATCCTATGTTACGTAATTCTTGTGTGAGTTCATCAAGAGTTTTTACGCTGCGAATTGATTCCGTTCGTCTTCTATCATCTGCTGCACTTCCAAATAAAGCTATATCCGCGATTGTTTTCAATAGTGAATGTTGATAGAGATAGTCTTTTTTTATTTCTGGATTTTCATGACAAATATCTTCTTTCTTTTCATACCATCCCTGTGTTTCTTCCGGGCAACTGCGTTTTGAACCTTCCTGTTTAAAGACTGTTTTGCTGTTTTTATTTCCTCGCAAAGCTTAATGATCTGTTTATCAACTTCAGCAAGGCTTGGCATAGTATTTCTGGCAGGATACAAAGCATTGAGATTTTTTTCGAGTAGAGCAATCTTACTTTTCATAGCTTCCTGAGAAGGCTTTGCTCTCTGTTTATCTGTATTTTCATTAATTTCGCATTGCTGTTGTGATTCATTACCGGGTTTTATTTTATCTTCTTCCTCTTTTTTAATATTTGAAGCTGACTGTATAATTTGTGTTTTTTCTGCAGGTTTACAGGTTGCCTAAAAATAAAAACTTTCTATGGCTTCTGCTAAAGATTCTCTTATTAAGCTACATAAATTCAAAGTATGGCAATATATATGATAAATACAAAACCCCATGGCTTTAAATCTGATATGTTTAAACAAGCAATTCGTTCCGGTACCAAAATACAGGGTGTTAGTTTTCTGTATATATGTATAAAACTAACATCCTGTACTTTGTGACCAATTAACGGAATCAATAATAAGAAATAAATCTATAATATAGTGAATATTACCTCTATACTTTGAGATAGGCCATAATATTTTCCAATCAGTAAAGAGAAACTTTTTGACGATTTCTAATATTTCTAGTACTCATAGGTACCTAAAATGATTTCGTCACTCACGTTAGAAAAAAAATTTAATTGATTGGATTTATTCTTAGTCGCCGCTTACAATTCTTCTTCGATTCTCTTAGATACAATATCTAGTTCCTTGTCGGATTTTGCTTGTAATTTGTAATTTCGCCACACTCCGTTAACTAACTTTTGTACATTTTGTACTTTCGTACTTGTATGAGATATTTTAAAACTTTCAAACAATTTTTGGTATAACTTGGATTTGTCTATGTGAAACGACATCTTATTTAAACATTTAACTTTGGCTAATGGAATCAATGGTAACACAAATGTTAGCTTGCTTTACTATGCTTACAATACGTCTACTCGCTATAGTATCCAAACGAAACAATACACTGATAGAGGACATTTAGACAAGTGAACACCGCGCGGTAATTCCCCTACTCGGTTATAAAGCGAGTAGGGGAATTACCGCGCGATGTTCACTAAACCTATGCATTATTTGCGGGAATCTCCGAAAATGCGTTTAGTGTTCAAGCAAAGACAATGTGAGGGTTCCCATTCGTGTAAAAAAGTAAATAACTACCGATGACGTAATCATCATCTAGACTCCCCATAGTACTCACGTAATACTTGACCGGCCCCTTATGAGAAGTAAGCATAACTTACAGTCTTTTTAATACTGTGTTCCTCTCGAATGCTTTTGGATGAATCCACTCTAGCCTGTTGTCTGACAGTACCCTGCAACAAAAAGTGTGATATATTATCAATATACAAACCTGATTGCAGGAGTGAACTATAAAACGAGGAGTCGTAAAACTGTGTACACTTGCTAGTCAAAATCCGAGGAAGGTTATAGGCATAGTTTTATCAGTGAAAATATCAATAGGTCAAAATAACTCGAAAAAAGCGTTGCCCAGACAGAAATGTAGAACAAAGTTGTGAAGTTTGAAAAGATTCACCGTTGGTGATCTTGAAGGTGACCTTGCTATGCCCTTCAAGGTCATTTGAAGGTCAAGAGGGTTTTTTGAATGAAAACTCCGCTTCTACACCGAAAATACAAAGAGAGTGAAATTTTACGTTGAAATATGACCATAGCCTTCAAGTATATACATAAGAAGAATATACGTTTTATAAATAAAAATGTTCAACAAAGCTTCAAATTTTAAACTGTTCATCTAAAGATGACCTCGAACTTGGCTGACTATGAGCTCCAAGCTCATTTGGAGCTCGACAGTTTTTTAATATGGAAGCCCTATTTTTGACACCATGACGTTGACTATGACCATCAAGGTCACTTCAAGATCAAATGAATGTTTAATGGGAAACATATATTTTTAATTAATGCAAATTGCGTACGATTTAGAGTTCAAATATATCCCTGCCAATGAACCTGATCATGACCTTCAAGATCATGTTGAGATCAGATAAAAAATGTTGTCAAAGCACCTCTTGCATTACGTTTGCTCATCGCTGTTGTTTTACAAGAACTTTAGTGTGAGTGCTCCGTCTGCCAAAAGAGAGAGCAAACGGCGAACATTAAACTTCTGCGAGTTTGGAAAGTCACCTGGAGGAACACAAAATCTGCATCTGCCAGTTTATGGTGGAGAAGCGAAATGCTTGAATGCCAAACTTTCTTTACGTTTTTACGATGCTTATAGAAGGTCTTAAAGAACGATCGTCATTTTACAATGACGTTCTTTCATATTCAAAGCGGCCATATCATTCAAAAGTGTGAGAACGAATCAACAACAACAAAGTAGTTAATTTTCCAAGTTTCGCCATTTTCACGCAAATTTCAGTGTTCGCCTTTTAGTCAAACTTTTCGTTAGTGATGAAATTGCTGACAGAAGAAATCGAGCAAGCGCAGAATCACCAAAAATCTTGTAAAACAAAAGTGCTGAACAAACTTCGCACACTGCTTTGTCGAGTACGCGACCAGGAAATATCACATGCAAAGCTTGAGCACAAGCAGTTCTACAGGGCAGAAATGGAGGAGTACACAAGTAGGAAAGCTCTTAATGTAGTAATTGGACTGCTTGACCAGATCTATGACATGTGGCAACATTTTTTTTTGAAGCCACACGTATTTTGTTCATCATCAATAGCGTCCAGTTTGAGCAGAAAGACGCCCACAGACACTAGGGCATTAAATAAAGAAATCCAGAATTAAATTAAGCCACATCACTTATACCTTATATACGAAGTGACATACATCCGAACACCCAGTTTAAAGCCCTTTGACCTTTAATAATGTGTGGATGCACCCTGATATGCTACGCATTCTCCAACGCGCCCAGGCATGCTTCTGATCAGGTGGTCAATGTCCTCCTGTGGTATCTCATTCCAGGCAACCACCAACTCCTCTCGAAGTGCTTCTAGAGTCTGAGGAGGACGTTGCGAATTGACCAATCTCCTACCCATCATATCCCACACGTGCTCAATTGGGGATAAGTCGGGAGATCTTGGTGGCCATGGTAACAATGTGACATCATTATGTTGAAAGAAGTCTATTGTGACTCTTGCAACATGTGGTCGGGCATTATCTTGTTGGAAAGTTGGATCTGCCAGGGTGTCAAGATAGGGTAAAAGATGTGGTTCTAGAACGTGGATATAACGCTGCGCGTTCATGTTACCTCTGATGAAGATTAAAGGTGACCTGGAACCATAAGCTATAGCACCCCAAACCATAACTCCAACAGTGTGATGAACATGTCTTTCAACAAAAAACTGTGGATTCCTCCTTTCACCACGTCGCCTTCCAACCCTGGCACGACCATCGTGCATGCCTAAACAAAATAGAGACTCGTCACTAAAGACAATACTGTTCCATTCCTGATCCCAGAGTGACCGTTGTCTGCACCACTCAAGGCGATTACGTCAGTGTTCTCGAGTTAAAGGGAGGATCCAGTGTGGCCGGTATGAAAACAAGCCAAAACTTCTCATTCATCGGTAAACACTTCGCATGCCAATAGGTCTTCCGTGTTCTGCAAACCATTCATTTGCAATGGACCTGGTAGTGGAGAAACGGTCCCTTAAGGCCAATAATCTTAGGCGGCGATCTTCACGGTCTGTTGTTCAACGGCGGCATCCAGTGCCCCTTGCTCTTTGCGTACGGCCTACTCGAAGCCATGCCTGACAACACCTAACCACAGTGTCTACACTTCTTTGCAATCTAACTGCAATTCCCCGAAAAGTAAAGTCCAGCTTCCCGAAGTCCCACTATACGGCCCCTATCAAACTCACTAAGTTGACGAAATCGTACAGGTCTCTGTACTCTAGGCATCGTAACCGATCGTAAAGGATGTCAAGAACCAACATCCGCCAACGTTGTTTCTTTACTGCGGCTGAAATATTCATTTTTAGAGCATTAGTGAATTAAAAAAAAAGCAGTATAAAAACCGGAATGTCCAACTGATAAGGCTGAATATTTTTTCACTTGTTATTTACAGTAAGATAAATACATTCACCAACTTTTATTAAAATAAAACCATTTAAACTGGGTGTTCGGATTTATACGTCACTTAGTATATATACCTTATACCTGATATGCTATCCTACACAGTTTGCTATGATTCTATGAAAAAAAAGAAAAAATTGTTTATTTATTATTTAAAACTTGCTTAAACTATCCTTTACATCAGAAATGAGTAGGTAGAACTGTACTGCAGGCGGATCACCTAATTCACAGACTTCGTACTACTCCTCAGTATAGGATCTTTTACATTTCTATGACACTATTAACGCGAAACCTACGAAGAATGAAAAATATGTTTTGCCATTTCTTACCGAAAATATTGATATTCCAATTCTTTATGATAAATCAAGGAAAAATAATGTCAGATGACGGTAAAGCAATAAGAAGGAATTCGAAATTACATCATTATCCCAGTTCAAGACGTGTGAAAGGAAAAGCCGTTAAGAAGTGATATATTAAACCCTCCTTTGGCTTTGGTGCCTCCGAAAATATCCGTTTTTATTATCCCCACATTTTTTCATTTAAATATATTCAAAGGCGTAGAACGCGGAGAGCAGCGAAAAAGGAAAAAGCTCTGGATTAAGGAAATTGAAAAAATTAAGCGAGCTGTAATCTATTTTCGTACGGATAAACCGGAACCTTGAGTATATGAAGAACTGTTGAAAGGCGAACTTAATTTCAGCACCCATGCGATAAGCTGCTGTTGGGTATCTTATTGCTGGTGATAGATGTACACACAGATTGTGAAAAATTCTTCCCGTGTCAGCGGGTGAATAATTATCATCTCCAAGCATCGAAAATTTCCTGATGGTTACACTACAGAAGACGATATCACTGATTATATCGGTATATCGTATGCCGTCTCCCTCTGGAGTGACCAGTTATCCGTCGCTTTTCCTCACAACTTGGAAACGTTGAGGAAACTTGACTGTACTGCAAAGATGTTTGAAACCAGAGAAGATGATTGTCTTGCAACCAAATTTGATTCTTTTGATGCAAATAGCGTGTACTAATGTTCAGTGCAGATTTGGTATAAATTAAGTAGGGAGAAGATGTTTAAATTGATTTTATATGCACTATTACACCATATATCATAATAGATGAGTCCCTTATAAACAAAGAATGCAAGAAATAGAGGGACAGGTTCTTACAAAAATGTCGTGGAGGATACATCTGGACATTGCCACCTCTAGAGTGAACTTTGTACGGTTTTGGATATAGGATGCAAGTAAAGCATATGACCAAACTTTCTAAAAAGTAAGTCTAACAATGTTCTGTTTTCAAGATACTAAGAACCTTTATAGAAATGAAAATACGTCTAATTGTACGAATCCTAATAAGCTCCTAGACGATTCCTTTGGATTTTTTTGAATTGTTTTTAATGGGTGATTCTTTCATTCTGTGATCACTTTGTTGCAAAAACAAGATAATAAACTAACTAAACTAAATATTTAAAATGCCAGTAATGTAAATACTCCCTACAAAAAATGTTTAAAGTAAATTTTGTTCATACAATGATTTTGATACATGACACCTTTATCCACTTGCGTCTTCAATTGTTATACAGGGTGTTTCAGTTTATTGTTGCATAACTTCAATATTCGATAGAACTTTTAAAATTAATGCATAAAGTCTATATAAACATCGGTCGAAAAATGCGTGGCTTCCAAAATATAGAGTGTTTAAATTTACTTTCTAAAATAGTTTTTTTTAAATATTTCGAACAATATTTGATGTATAACAGTGAAAATTGGTATACAAGGGTTTTTTGGTACGACAAAACGAACCATGTGCATAGTTTTACTGTAGCCGCTAGAGGGCGCTCTCTACTGAACCTGTAGTGTATTAAAATGATCGAAATTTTTTTCTTAGTGCAATTTTTTGCTTTTTGAACAAAAAACTGATTCTTCAGTAGAGAGCGCGCTCTAGCGGCTACAGTAAAACTATGCCCATGGTTCGTTTTGTCGTACCAAAAAACCCTTGTATACCAATTTTCACTGTTATACATCAAATATTGTTCGAAATATTTAAAAAAAAAACTATTTTAGAAAGTAAATTTAAACACCCTGTATTTCGGAAGCCACGCATTTTTCGACCCATGTTTATATAGACTTTATGCATTAATTTTAAAAGTTCTATCGAATCTTAAAGTTATGCAACAATAAACTGAAACACCCTGTATAGCCGATCTCAGCTGTTCGAAATATATGATGAACTATGATCCGTGCGTAGAATTGAACGCTTATTAATAATATGTTGCCGC